AAAAAAAATCTGAATCTGCAAGTTCATAGATTAGAAAAGGGAATTTCTAAAGTGCATTTAAACATCTCTTGTCAGGGAATCGCACAATGTAGGTACAAGCTAAAAATGACAAAACAGTCCTCAAGCTTGGGTTAAACTCTACTGCACCAACATGTGTCAGTCAACAGAACTACTTAAGAAGGACAGTACACCTTTAAATTCACCTGTTGAACTACATGACGAACACCCCTTTTCTGTGATTCTGATCTTTAAACATTTGTGCATTCCCAAAACAAGCGATCCATAAAGCTTATTCTGGTTCCCCTGACCACCGAGACAACAAACACTCAGAGAAAATAACAAGTGGCCATTCTGGATAAAAACCAATCACCTGAATGTATACATTGGATTTTTCATTCTGTCCATGGCAGCTTTGGTAATCAATCCCTCCATTTCGAGATTACATGAATGCTAGGATACGTGTAACACTTCAGACGCAAAGACAAAAACCAACTCTTTGGCGATCAGTCTTTGTCATTTACAAGTTCATGACCAATGTTGTCCTTCACGAGACCTCGATGTACCACAAACCCCATGACATTGCGTAACACTGTGTTGATGTAAAAGTTCCATGTGATCGTCCCACCGCTACTACAATCCAACAACCAGAGTGGTAAATCAATATTGTCCTCTGAACTATTTATCCAGAACCATCTGACTGATAAAACTCAGCCCACTGAAACAATAACTCCAGGAGCGCAGGGCCGCAAAGACCAACGGCACGTCACCGGTGGAGCCATCACAGAGGCCTACCACCGCGTCCAGCTCACATTCCCGTCACCAAACAGTCATCTTTTCCTCTTCTGCTGCCTCATCATCTTTCTCCGCTTGATGATCATGGAGTGGAGACGTTCCAGGCCTTCTTGTAGACCTTCTCCGATGATGGCACAGGCCGGTTGGAGGTGCCAGGGCGTGTGAGAGCCGAGCTCGTTCAGCGCCAACATCTGCTCGACCTCACATAGAGGCAACGCGCTGCGCAGGTCCTGCTTGTTCGCCACCACCAACACGGGCACCCCCTGGTTCTCCTGTAGCCGCGTGATCTTATGGAGCTCCGTTTTGGCCTCCTCCATGCGTTCGGCGTCCACCGAGTCCACCACGAACACCAGGCCGTCAGCACACCGCGTGTAGGAGCGCCAAAGCGGCCGGAGCTTTTCCTGGCCTCCTACATCCCAGAAATGAAAGGTCCCAGTCCGGCCTTTCCCACCGAGAGGCAGCTTGATCTTCTCCGTGTTGAAGCCCTTGGTAGGAACGGTGTTCACAAACTCATTAAAGCGTAGCCGGTACAATACCGTGGTTTTACCGGCACAGTCCAAGCCGAGAATAACAATGTGCAGGGCCTGAAAGGACGGCAGGCAGGGAAAGATGGCATGAGGCTCTGATAATCCATTCCCCATCTTGTTCTGCCACTCTGATGAGGATGAAAGCGAACGCGGAGACTCAGGGGACCAGGTGTCGCTGCTGCTACCGTTTCACCAAATATTCACAGGGCTTCTCTCGTTCCCCTGAGAAGCTGCTGCTATAACCTGAAACCAAATGAAAAAGGAGATGATGCAATGAGGCCAGCAGTGAAGCACCATGACACACAGTTTTACAGCTACTTGGCTGTTCATTTTAAGTAAGTATGCTTTGCTGTCTTTGTCATTCCAAAAGGCACACAGATTCAAACTAGCTGGATGTCATTCAGTGCCTTTTTTGATGTTGAATGAGGCATGAAACAGCAGGAAACCCATTTGCACATGTAGCGCCACAGGGGCACCAGAATTACGCATCGGTAAAAATCCTCGTGCGCAAAAGGCTCATTTTGTCATTTTATTGTTCAACAGTAGTTGCCAGTTGCAAATAGAGACAAATGCACAGGCTCGCCTATGTAATCGTGGAAAACACGAGCATGTCGCAGATCTCTATGGCCATCTGTAGAAGCGCTTTAGGAGGGGCACATCTCCGTACATAAAGGCATGAATCTTGTTCATTATGTTCTTCCAACAAGTGATTCAACATAAGAACCATTATTATGTTGAGCTCTAAAAAATGTTTAACGCGCCCTAAAAGGCTTGAACTTCGTTACCAAAATAATAAGTTACTCTAAATTGTATTATTGCACAGACTAATGTTATTTTTCAATAATGAAGCTTTGTAAGCACCCGCGTATGGAAATGAAATCTCGTTCGGTAACTTACCCACCTTATTTAGTGCGATCTTTGCGTAACGCGTTAGATGACAGTGTTTGCGATTATTTCCTAAATATTGTTGCCAGTCAGATCAGCTGAATCGACAAGTGTATCCACTCCCTGTTACAGCGCCTGTTTCACTGACTCCACAGCAAGAAGCATTCCACTTCATTCTAGCAGGGCTGGCTCCGCCCACTGTGTGGAACAACGCGCTGATTGGTTCAATTCAGTGGGCGCGTGTTAATTTCCTTGGAGTTTGATTGGTGAAGAGTGAAGCCTGTCGTCTTTTGACACACACCTCCTCACCACCTGTTCACGTCGCTCAACGCCTTTAAAGTTTGAGAGACGCGCGTACAGGTGAGCCTTACCCAGGTTATGAATGACAAGTTAAATGCTTTAGCTGGAAAACAAAAATGTTGAGTGTCCATTTTTTGTTTTAATGTATCCACTAGAGACCTATGTTTTACTGAGGAGACACGACTTAAAGGGATATTCACCCAAAAATTAAAATTTGTCATGACCTAGCCTAGCCTACTCTGCTTCAAGTTTTTCCAAACCTGTAACTTATGAGTTTGCCAGCATTCTGTTTGATTACCAAGATAATTTAACATATATTTTATAAAAATCTGCTGTAGCTGCATAAAAAATATTAGTGTTCCAGATTGATTCTAGCCTAGGAATGCTAACAGAGTTTTCACTTTTTGGGTAAATCTCATCCGAATCACGAACATTCAATCCGTTTGTTAACGCTTTAAGCAATGTATAAGTTCGACAGTTCGATTCTAACATATTAATAAACACAAAGGGAATATGGAGACATGATTGGTGATAATTTGTAGAGAGGAAATGTAGGATCTTATTTTAACATAACTTGTTTGTGTGTGTGTTGGGGGGGGGGGAATCCCTGTAAAAGAGCTGCCTGAACTTAAAAAGTGAAAAAAAAAGTTGGCCTACGTCAACAACATGAAAACGAATTAAATGTCTAAAGGAATGCAAAAGAGAATAAACATAAGTGAGCAACTCTTTTCAAAGAAAGGAGGCATATCAAAGTGTCAGAACATTTAGCCGTGCTATATCAATACACAATTACCCAGTGATGGACGTGCTGTCATGCACGTATTCATAGGCTACACCGGAGATCTAACTGAATAGCTACGCTAGACTGCCTTAATTGCTCGTCCTTAAACAACCGTTCGTCAAATTCAGTACAGAGGTTAATTGGTCTATCACCTGAAAAGACAACATGTCAAGTAAAATATGCCTATTCAAGAAATGTAGGTACAAAATACGTTAAAAAATATGAAAACGTCTTACAATCAACACGTTTAAGGTAACAATTTTGCTGATTTGAAAATCTAGAAATGAGTTTTTAGTCATATAAATCAGTTTTATAGATCTAGCAGCAGCACTTTATTTAGGCTGAAAAAAAAATTGATGATTTTGTGCGTAATCTTTTTGTTTATTTCACTTGTGCGCCATCTTGTGGTACTGGGAGGAAACACCACACGGGCCGTTATTGTTAGTATTGTTCACCATGCTTTCCATTAGGCCAATGGAAGCATAAGCAAGCCCATATATTCTGCTCATTCATTGGATAGGATAGGCTATCCTTTGAAACCAACTGCATGCCATAGGCGACAGGTTTTACAGCTGCGCTTTATTATATTAGTCCTTTAGTCGCAACAAAAATAGTCCAGAGTCAAAATAACATAGGAACATTTTTTACTTTCATTGTTCATGTAAATGAAACGGTAATTTTACAACAGTCTACTAAAAACCCACATGTGTCACAAATGTGACCACTGCCATGTTTACAAGTATTTTGATCATGATTTATATGCAGTTGTTTGCAGGGTTGGTCATGCTTGTTGTGAGGTCCAAAATATTTGTCTATTTTACTATTATACTATATTCAATAGTGAAACCTGTTGAGCACCAACTAAGCCAGACCTAGCTAGTTTAAGCCAGACCTAACTAAAGTATAATGATGTGCACAGGCGAGGGTCAGTTTTAGGGATTAGGGGTTGGATTTGGACATATGAAGTATGATTACCCTGATATAAAAACAGTGCAAGTCTATGAGATGTTCTCACTAACAAAGTGAAACTATGAACCTCCCTTCTTATGACTCTTATCAGGAGTGTATCATGCATTTGACCAAACCATTTGGCTGGCTGTCCATGCACAATAAGACATTGTTAGCCGCCACACATATTTCACCATTGTTCAAATGCTTATTAAGTGATATGGAAGATTCCTGGATAAAAAGGAATTTTAAGGCTTTGTATCTATGATCAAATTACAATTTGTATGTACAAAAAAGAAAAATAAATTGGTGTGATGAACTTTAACCATCACCTTTTTAATAAAATTGTAATCAGTGTTTACACAATGATGTTTCTGGAAGTACTTCAGGGAAATAATGGTATTTTTCAATGTACCATTATCCTCTTATACCATCCCTTGGCCAAAGTACTTTTTACAGTATTTTGCACATATCAGTGGTCAGCAAAACTAAAACAACAGTTCTAGAATATCTTCAATTATTACTCGTTGTAATATGTCTCTTGTTTCTAGGAGGCTCTTGTGTGCTGCATTGACTAAAAAACAATTTATTTTTTTTCAAAAAATTTATTGATTTTTTAATTGTACAATTTAAATCATGCTTACAGAATTCCAGAGCAGAAATATAAATCTGGGCAAACAATTCTAAGTGAAACCCCAACTTTATGACTTGAACATTATTGAGTAATTTCATATGTTGGACATATGGCATATTTTTCAAAGGATTTGAATAACAGTCCAATACAATTCACGAATCATGCTTCAGTAAACAACTATCTGTTTTTATCTCCCCAGATAAGTCTGTTGAGTTAACCTGCAGTCCTCAGTTCACCTGCAGTGATCCCACTGCTCTTGCCATGAGGTCACTGTCCCATCGCGAGGCGTCCCACCCAAGGAACCAGCCGGTGAATGTGGGGGGCTCATGCCCCTGCTTTACCACCACCACAGAAGTCCCCTTGTCTCGTCCTGATGGGTCTGTCTCAATGTAAGTCCTTGCTGCAAAGGTACAAATACTTACTTTACATGATATTTTATTTCATGTTTAAACTGTGTCATATGATCTGTTCAAGCATGCAGTTAAACCTGTTAAAGGCTTAAAGGGGTTTCAGATTTCAAATGTATTTTAAGGAATATGTGCCTGCTGCATCTCACCAGCTTTTACAGACTCAGTCCTCTCCACCTCATTGGCATCCTTTCCAATCCACACAAAGACCTGAGATATTAAATCAGGGGTTAGAGACATGTATCGCGAAACCAAAGTCAGGAGATATCTTTGAATATTAAAGATTCTCAGAGACGTAATTAAGGATGTAATCATGAGATAACTCTCTAACCTGATCCCAGACATCCAGTAACATGACATCATCCTCTGCCAGGTCATCTTGGTTAAACTCACCAGAAACTTCTTCAATCTATAGTTGTAAAAATGCATTAGTGTCCAAACAATATTTTGCCTATATGTACACAGAAAGACAAGGCATGTTTTAGATTTTCTGCATTGTCTTTCATGCAAAATCACTTTTGAAAGCAATAACCAAAAGTGAAACTGAACTGGACTTTGGTTTACTCTTATCAGAGTCTAGGATACTCACGATGAACCTGCCACTTTTGTTGGAGCAGGCGAACATACGGGGAGGATGGGGTATAGTTTTATTCTGCAACATCTCAGATTTCTGATACTCTGTCTTTCCACCCAGAGCCTTCCAGAAGTCCTCTTTAAATGGAAAATGAGCAATATAAAAAACTCCTGTCACCCACCAATGTGTGATTAAAAAGGATGAAGAGTGTGAATTGAATTTGTTACACATTGGCCATACCAGGCTCATTTCCTTCAGTAACTGACTTGGTTTTGCACTTCAGCTTCTCACTCATGTACTTTGCCCCTCGTTCCTCTTCCTCGCTCGCCCCCTTCCCGTTCCACACGTACCCATCCCCCTGTGGTAACTTCAGCAGGTAGGCATCATTGGTGTTCAAGCTTGATGCTTTAGCATCCACCTGTTAGACCACAGACCAACACATTCAAAGGAAATCCGTAAATTAAAAACAGGTCACGCTAACCAAAAGATGGTTAAATGTTCTGGAACATCAAGCAGAGATCTCCACCATCATGGCCTAGAAAATCTGCCAGTGCTAAGCAGGATGAGCTAGAAAGTCTAACATGTTAACCTCAGCTCCACCACATGGTGGTTTACTGACACCAACCAGCTGGGACAATCTACTGACTATAAATGATCAGGTTAGACTAGGGATGCACCGATATGAAAATTTTGGCCGATACCGATAATTCTTTATTTTTGAAAGCCGATAACCGATATATCAGCCGATAAATTTCAAATTTCCAAAATTTTTCAAAAATCCAAATTTTTATCTAATTTTGAGAGCCTGATTATGAAAACAAAAGTCTCACAATTAAGTCCATGTCCCAAGCGCACGATTATAATGATGTTCTCTTTATAATTTTGTATAGCCGATATGACAGATTTGCGGTGCGCATGTTGTGCCGAACCGTATTTTCATTTTTTGAAGAGATTTCAATCATATTTCAAGAAATTCAAAAACATAAACAGTGCTCAACAAGTGTCTCAGCTGAAGGGAATAACACATTATTTATCGGCTTTAATATATCGGCCACATTTTCTTACCAGGCCGATAACGATAACATTACAAATGAACATATATCGGCCGATACCGATATGCTGGCCGATATATCGTGCATCCCTAGGTTAGACTTGTAAACCATGCACAAGATACTTGGTTGAGGTGTATCTTCCTTTTCCTGGTTATTTCATGTGACCAAACTGTTTCTGGACATTGTACTTAACCAGAGACCAGGACTCACCTCACAAATTCGTGTAATGGTGCCCAGGTTCCTGCGCACTTGAAAGAGGCGGGTTGGAGGTGCGGGTGCCTGCCCCCCCTTCCTAGAAGTCCCATTCTTATACACGATCAGAGGCTTTTCCTTGAAGAGACTCAGCAAATGAGGTGGTTCCTTCCCTTGAGTCACTCGCACCTGGATGGATGTGGAATGGAACCACCATGGTAAGATAATAACCCCGGGTTAGTCGTGTTTAGTCAGCCCCTGCTGTACATCTTTGCAGCCCAAGTCCATATTTACTGTACAATCGATAAAATTCAAACTACCATCACCTGAACAGCATTTCCTCCCAGCGAACGGTCCAGTTCAACAGTGAGAAAGGCTGAAGCTGTCAGTTCATCTATTGTGCTGCTGGAACCTTGCCTGAGGGTCAAAGCATAGAGAGATAAGCCTTATTTGATTTTTTGTGTGTGTGTGTGTCTGCATGATTTGACTCTCCCTCCGGAAACAAGCCACTTATACAGAGCTTACCAAGTGTAAATGATTTGTCCCCTGGTGTAAGTATATAAAATAATATAGCAGTCCCCTCCATAGAACTGGCCATATGTCTCTGGGTCTACAGGAACCTTGGTATCTCCTCCAGTATTTCCACTCTCCACTCTCCAAATCTGTGAAACAACACCGGATTAAGAATATCCATCAAACAAATTCACAGTTTAGAATTTTCATTGATAATAGAAAACAATCTATAATTATTGTGCAATGAAGTCTTCATAAGATGTGCTCAAATAGGTGAAATTTTGTGTACAGAAAGGTCCAGTCTATTGTCAGTAGTATATTAATGTATAGAGCACAGCTCAAACAGAAGTCACTTTTAAACCTGCTTTCGCCCTCAAGCAAATTCCAGATCGCATGGATTCTTATTAACATTGCTGGATTTCGCCTGTGAAAGCCTTTCACTGAGAAGCCATAAATTGTGCAACAGTTTCATTTTGAGTGTCATTTTGACAGTAAGATGCTCATCCGCAACCAACGCAAGCACAATTTCACTTGTACAATCTCTGATCTTTTGTATGCAAATAGTGACCTGGGTTTTTCCAGTGCCGTCGTCGACCATGTTGTACTGAGCAGCCATTTGCTGAGACTCATGCAGCTTTGAGGCATCAAACTCGGCTTGTTGAATCTTGGCGATCCGCTCGGTGACGAAGACTCTGCCTAGACCCTCAGACTGGTCCTTCTCTTTCCAGTTTTTGAAGAACTGCTTAAAGATGGGTGTCTCTCCACCCTCTGGAAGGACCTGGATCTGTGTACAAAGACAAAATGACCTGGATAACCAACCCGATCTCACGACCAAGTCGTACGAATTCGACGAATGATTAAGAAGTGGCTAATTCGTAACAATTCATACGACCTCACTCGTACGAATTAGTACGATTTTGCTAAATCGTACATATTTTACGAATTGGCCAATTCGTATGAATTCGTACGAATGACCTACCCCTGACCCCGCCCCTAAACCTACCCATCACGTGGGTTTAGACAAATGGTACAAATTCGTACGAGTGAGGTCGTACGAATTAGTACGAATCGGACACTTTTTAATCATTCGTCGAATTCGTACGAATTGGGCGAGAGATAGTGTTGGGATAACCCTAAGACTATACTTATCCCCTGTCGATAAAAAATAAAAAGTGCAAAAATATCTACCCCTAAAAGGTTAATTTTACCTGACAGTAGTAACATGTTCTTCTATAAACATTTTAGGCCTAAATAAGGTATAAAGATCCTGCCTTGATAAGCGATTGTTCCCCTAAAGGTACCATATTGACAGTGTTGCTACATCTAAGAGTGATGTGAATTGCTAAACCTGGGTGTTTGCGGGATATCCCATCTGCTTAATGAAGCCCTCAGCTGTTTTCATGGCTTCCTTCCTCTCACTTGGATTTGCGTTGCGGCCTAAATCATCAAAAATGAGGTCAGTCACCTTGGTAGAATGTCACGCAACTCCTTTGTGTAATGGCTTCAGTTTACAGATACCTTTCCATACAAAGATCATTTTGTTTTTTCCATGGTCCAGAATGAAGCATTCCTCAGACAACAAGTCACTTTGGGTAAACGGATTCTCCTCTGACACAAGTGACACTTGCATTTTTCCTGTTGCATCTGATACCTGTAAAGCGCAATGGCATTTAAGTGATATCATGTGACAGTTCCTGTCTGTTGAATTTGCATATAGATAATTTGAACAGAAATGTACAGACTTGTTTACCATATAAAGTTTGGCCATTTTCCTGTTTGACATGTCAGCAACCGCATCCTCGTTGTCGTCGCCTTCAGGAATCTCAGGCTTCTCACCGAGAACCTGTGATGTTCAAAGCCAAGGTATGAATATGTCAAACTTTCCAGCTAAACTGGATATCGTACTGCCTATAGCAAACATGATTGTGGTCAAAAATAAGCAAGTTCAACCGGGTCCCAGTTACCCGTTGCATGGAAATTCTGGCAAGCTTCAGGTGTGTGATTTGACACTTTTACTTGATACCTTCTTCATCGCTGCTGGTTCCTGTCCTTCCTCTACAACCACCAGCTGGGCCCGTCCGTTCCTCTCGTTGTCTCGGATGCCAGTGGCCACCTGTGCAGCTTTGAGGCGCTCAAACTTGTTGCACTTAGACCCACACCATTGGTAGATTTCCTAGTTTCAGAAATCGGTTCAATTGTTGGGGATCTTGTTACACATATAGACAAATAGCTGGCAGACCTCCTAGGAAGACATTGACCTCAAAAATTGATTTCTTTCTTTGTAAATTTGTCAGTGACACATGCCCTTTCTTAAGAAATAATTTTAGTGAATTGTCTCTACCTTTGGAAATACAACTGTTTAAAGGGATAGTTTGAAATAAATTTTTGATATGTTTTAGCTTACCTCAAGGGCATCCAAGATGTAGGTGTCTTTGTTTCCACAGTATTTTCAATTTTGACATTTTTCAATCAAACCGTTGTTGTCTATCAGTCATAGACTGGAGGCTTGCACAGCATGCACAGAGAAGTCAAAATTAAACATGATTTAATAACTCGTAAATGTAAGTACACATTGATGATCTAAGACACGAAACGAACAGTATTTCGTTTTTACCTCGTGTAATCACACAGTGACGTCCAAGTGATCTGAATCAGTTGTGCAATGTCCAACTGAACCGAACTGAATCAGTTCAATGTTACGCCGGAAGTGATCGCTTGCATGTGACGTCACTCAATATTTACACGGAGATTTCGGAAGTTTTACCTTTTCCTAAACATATTTAGATATACCGAAATCGTCAATGAATCGTCAGATCATTTTGTCACGGCTATGAGTACAAGAGGAAAAAACGATATAAATACTGTTCGTTTTCTCCCACAAACCGCTCGTTTCGTGTCTTAGGCCATCAATGTGTACTTACATTTACGAGTCATTAAATCATGTTTAATTTTGACTTCTCTGTGCATGCTTTTTTGGTGGACCCCCTTAGCCTCCAGTGTATGACTGATAGACAACAACGGTTTGACTAAAAAATGTCAAAATTGAAAATACTGTGGAAACAAAGACACCTACATCTTGGATGCCCTTGAGGTAAGCTAAAACATATCAAAAATTAATTTCAAAGTGAACTGTCCCTTTAATTGTTTTATACTGTCATTTTGTAATGGCATCAGTCAGGATTTGTCTGTGATGTTTATGGTCTTTAGAGATGTGAGAGAGAGCAGCACTAAGTTGCAATCATTCAGTCAAGTGGTATTATCAGATTTAATCTTCCTGTAAACCATCCCATGCTGTGCATAGTCAGCAAGAGCCTGTTCGATGCTTTATAGATGCATCTGTTGATTGGCGTGAGACATGGTTCATCTCCTTGTGCTCTCATAACATTTGCTCTACACAGTATGTTGACAAAGTAATTTGACAGCAATGCAATTATAAAACCCACCCATAAGTGCATACAGAGTGATATTAAATACACACTCCACAAGTGAACCAGCCTGTTACTGTCTAAAGAAATGTGTAATACATTCAGTTTCTTTTTATTTGTTAACTCTGCATTGAAAGATTTGTAGATTATTGCTCAAAATTAACTAATTTAGCAACTTAAATAGTTCCCCTGCTTTTCAAATGACAGATTTACTCACTTCAAGTTCATCATTTAGTCACCCTCAAGATTATATAGAAAGATTATATAGAAGATTATATAGTCTCATGGAATACTTCAATGGATTGTATTCTCTTTTTGTAATTTCCCAACTGCAGTATTCATGTTTGCACAGTGTGGACATTTTTTTCTGCATTAAATACTTCCATGGATGTTCCACGGAAAAAGTCTAATCATAATTTTGGAGTGATGGGAGGGTGAATGAATGATGACAGACTTCATTTTTAGGTGAATATCGCAGCCTTAATGCAGCCATTTGTGTGTTTGTTGATGCAGCAGGTCTTACTGCTCCTAGATCAGCTATGAAGCAGTCGCCGTTGTTGAAGCTGGCCCAGGAGAGAGGCACTTCTGTGGCCCGGACAGTGCGCCTGCCCTTGATGTGGAAGAGTCGACGGGCAGTAAGATCATTGGTGACCACGTGTTGAAATCCAGATGCCACACCTCCGGTCTGAGGAGGTAAGAAAATATTATTCCTCTGCTCTTTCTTCTTGTTTTTCTATTTTCAAACACTTTCCGTTTTTAAACACATTTGCAAGACACAGTCTGAGGCCAAATGCAACACTGAGGAGTTGAATGTCCCCAAACACGTGCTATAACACAACATTCCCTCAGACCATCTTGAATGTTTGGGCTTGTGAAAAACAGAAGGTCCTAAGTGTGAAGGTACTTGACCTCGCCCTAATTGTAAACAAAACGACTAATCCTAGATTTGCACTGTGAAGTCTAGGAAACATTTTCTCAACTGGCAAAATAAATGCTGCAACTGTCAGTGTTTCCATCAGTTTAAACAACGGCTTTCTGTTTAACGTAAGGCAGACCTGAAGTAAGATAAATAATAGTACTCTGTTGGGAGTCAATAGAGAACAAAAGCAGGAATAGAAGGGATATTAACAGTCTCAAACCTTATATGTGATCCCGCCTTTAAAGTAGCTGGTAAAGTTGTTGGACTCAAAGCCCTGGATTTCACGGTACTGGACTGGTTTACCTCCTAGGTAGTCATCCATCTGAATGGTAAAGATGGCCGCGGCTGTACTTTCATCTTGGGAGCAATCTTTACCTAGAGAGAGACAAAGAGACTTCATCCAAACCTACTTCTGTGGCCTATTAATTCAGGTTAATAATTAAGTGATTGGTTTTTTTTATTTGATTATTTTACACTTGCAGCTCCTCAAAGGCATGAGCATTGCATTTCTAAACTAGAAAGAGCTGTTTGTTTTCACACTTTGATGACAACTGATACCCAAAGTGTTTATTCTTTTCACCCAGCATCAGTTTTGACACTTTAAAGCCTGCTGTATTAGCTTTTGCTTGTGACCACAGATGTGCTGTATACAAGCTATGTGACTTTCTATGTGACTTTTTGTGGAAGGCTTTTATTGGGTAAATGACTTGACAAAAAAGATATGGTAGAAACATCATTAAGGAATCCATTTACATTGGAAGGTTAATGACTCATAATGGAGTGTGTGTGTGTGTGTGGTTACGGACACCTATAAACTCAAGGCCAAAACATCACAGCGATATTGACGTTATAAGACATCTAATGGGGCAAAGAAAGTGCTTTCACTTAGCAGAGGAAGGAAACCGTTAAGTGCAAATGGTTAACTAAATGGCTTCTAAATTTCATTATTTCATTTTCTACGTGATCTTTCTGTGTTTTCTGATCTTTTCCAACTTGACCACATGAGGCTTCTCCGGAATTAAAGATCAAGTTTTTAGGAAGTCGCATAACATGGCATTTTGACACTGTCATAAATAAGTACCATTTTAAAACATTTTTAGAGATGAATTCACCTTGACATAAGGGACTGCATGGGTCCTCTCTATCACATAATTTCCCCCCTGCATGTTTACATGTTGCCTGGATCATATGATTTTAAATATTAATAAGCAGTTAAGCTTTAAAAATATATAAATATTAACATTTAAGGATTAAAAATGTACAAATATTTATTATGGCATCAGAACAGGTGTATCACCCTAACCGTTTTGACTTCAAAATATCAAATTGCATTTTAATTCATAAATTAAAAAACATGCTCTTTATAGAGGTGCATAGATGAAAGTCCAGTATTAAAACCATGAGAACCAGCAACCACTTCTGAGAATGAACTTTATAACCTACGCAATACTAAACCATCATTTTATTGGGGCCATATACTTTTTCATTTATCTGATGGTGTATTTACAACGTGCACATTTCAGTATCATGTCAGCTAATTTGCCGTCATCTTTCCTCAACTTTTTAAGTAGTGACTGAGATTTTGCACTTTCTTTCTCTCTTTTTTTCTCCCTAATAATCATCATTCATACAGATCTGGACAAAAGTTTGTGAATATAAATTTGACCTGATAAGTTACTAGATTGTGCTGAGGTAGGATCTGGATCTGAGATCAGTCACATGCACTTGACTAAAGAATATATTCTATACAGTTTATATTATAAAAAGAGTATTTAACACAATATAAAATTAAATGATATAATATTTTTATGTTAAGAGTTACACACAAGATTTAAACACTTTTCTAAAGTAGAGAACAACCGCTGCTTACCCAGCCAGTAATGCAGATCATAGAAACACGAGTTCTTCTGTTTGACAGTGTGGAGCACCAGGTAGGCATCGCCTATATAGAAGCTTCCATGCAAGTTCTTAGGCACAGGGACCAGTTCCATCTTTTCAATTCTCCATATCTGGAGACCGGCGCTGTTTCCAGCCTGCTCGAACTCTTTATGGTAAAGCCCCATGTCTGAGAGAGGTGTGTGGAGACGAGGTGACAGGCAGACGGTGTACTTCTGTGACCTGACAGCACTGAATCAATAACAGCAGTGTGCAGATGTATCCACTGACACATTAGTGGGTGTGTTCAGAAACATGAAGTAGTTAAACACACACACAGAGAGAAAGAGAGAGAGAGAGAAAGAGAGGTGCAGTGTGAATAAGAAATTGAGTAATAAATGTGCGAATCTTTTATTACATTTCCTGTTTTTTTCCTGTTTTTCTCATGTTATCATAACCCACACCGGTCAACTTTAAATGAATGTAATGAAATTAACAAAGTGCTGTCTAAATTGATGTAGAAAGACTCATGTCTGATCAGGTTGTTGCGATAATGAGAAGCAAAAGATAGTTGAAACTACATTTGTTTATTTACATTCACAGCATATTTATTTCTCCATTTCTGCCTTAAGTGTCCACCATTTTCCATAGCAAATGTTGGACAATGGATGGACATCCTCCAAAGGTTTCATATAGGGAGTCTGTTTAGTGTCTTTTCATACACAAATTGCAATTGATACACTATCATATTACCTTGTTTTTTGAAAAAAAAAATTGTATATGCATGCACAGAAAATGTCTGCACATTACTATTCATATACTATCATATTACATTGTTTTTGTAAATATTCATGCACATTTTAAGAAAATCTCTGTCGACCACTATTAATGACTAATGCTGTGCATATGTGTTTCTACATGATTATTTCTAGGTGAGACACAATGTCAACTTATTTTTGCATCAATATTGGATATTTATCATGAATTAGGTTGAAAATCGTATTGTGTCCTTCAACAGATGGGGTTAAAGTTAAATTAGCTTAGTTAGAAAATGTATAAAAACCACTGGGAGGAAAAAAACAGCAATATAGATTAAGTTAATCTGATATGAAAGATCTCACTGTAAATAAGAAACAAACAGTTATGTTAGAAAATCCTTCATTGACACCATGTGCCTGACAAGGAAACTAGTTTATTTGGAAGTTGAACATCTCTCAGGAAGTCAAGGGCATATTATAAAGCCGCTGCCTTCAAACAGTATCCTGAGAAATGAATGTTTGATTTCCAGCTAGTTAGTTCTTGGCAAAGAATAGCTGTGAACCAGTGCCAACAAAACAACCACTATAGTATAGCAGCCTAGGTATTTAAATTAAGAGAAAACAGACTTGACTAATAAAGTCAACCCACATTATGGACAGATAAATATGAGATATAATGTGTCATTTCCTGTATAGCAACTTGTATAGCAGCTGTTCAACCACACATGGCCACAATGTTAGTGCATTACCCATAAAAACATTTTTTTCTCACAGAAATAGGATTCCAATGCAATATATTGCATTGGCATATGAGTGTATCAGGGTTCTTGTCTTTAAGAACCGAAACTCTCACCTTATGTGACAGTTGCATTCACACTTAAAGCACCAAACAACATGCAGCGTTTGCTTCTTCACACACAGATGGCAGAACATTTTTTTTCCTTTCTTGCAGTTGCACAAATTAGTAAAGAGTCAATGCAACAAAGTGTCACAGTGATGTTATATTTCCTCCTGTGCATGCATTCAGTTCTCTGTGTAAATCAGAGATGCAACCCTTCGAACCAGGGTTCAAAACAGTCATATGATCCACTCCAATGTGTAAAATATTATTTTACACTTAAAAAAAATGGGTTACACTTTTATTCTGATGGTCCTTTTTAGAAATTCTACGAAGTAGCTTTGTGATGTCAAGTAACTCTCATTAGAGTCGACTGTTCGATGTTGGGGTTTGGGTAAGAAGAATAAGTTGACGTGGTTGTAAAGTTACTTGTAGTTTTGTAGAATGTATAAAGTGGCCTATCGAAATAAATTATTTTCAGAAAAATCATCTAGACAAAAAGTTAAGACTTTGAAGAAGCTCAAATATTCAGTATTTAATATACATTACATTATTCCTATACTTCCATTTGTCTTATATAATAGTTTTAAGTTAGTATTATGTAAAAATGTGAAAAAAAAATAAGTGTCTAAACTTTTCACTGGAATATCTTCGCAAGAACAATCAATTGTGCTGAGGATCATATTTCTCATTTTAACGGAATGTGAAACTAATGTGTTCAAAGGAATTTTCCATATCAGTGAATGGTATCTGTGGCACAAGTACCATATAATTTCATGTTTGAAAAAAAAACAAAACGTTGATTGCCTGTGCATTTCCAAGGTGTTCATTCCAAGTAATCAGTTTATCTGTAATTGTTAAAATACCTTCATGGTGTCCTTGCATGAATATTATGCAAATATTCAGGTTGACATGATCATGAGTATAATATTGAATATACTGTAGCATTGCGCACACGGCTAGGAAGTCATCACTCAAAATCTAAAGCTATAGCTCATAAAACACATAGTTATGGCTATTCTTTATTTCAAAACAGAATGATAATTACAAGTATACAGTGTGGCACACTTGAACCATGGACTTCAATTGTCTAATAACTTGCAGTTCTGTCTCTATGACAACCATCATTTGAGGGATCTGTGCATCTGCAATGATAAAGAAAGACCCCGTTCCTCAGATGAACATTTAACCATGCTATAAAATCAACAGTGCATTATGCAAATCCTTGAATAATGAAAACACATCGCTGAAGGAACCTGGGATGGAGATAATTGCTCTCTCTTGTGACAAAATAGATTGTTACAACCTGATTAAATGTGAGGATCGCTGCAGGCCATGGAGTACGGATAGGAATCTGAAGTATTGTTATTCAGTATTCACACATAATTGCACTTTGCAAATGTAGACAAACTGGCGAATCTCTGTAAAACTTTACCAGTGCCTATAAACAGTTCTGCAGTTCTGAAAAACCTTTATTTAAAAAGACAAGTTTGCAACATAATTATAGCGATCAACTGAATGGAAATTACGCCTCTTATTGTCAGTTCCCCTTGACAGCCATTGTGTAATTTGTCTATGCTCTGGATACTTTGCTTTGTTGCCAGCTAATAAAACCATGTTGCCTGTTTGAACTTCCATTTTGTTAGTTCTAAATAAGGGTTACGGTAAGAGTTGAGGTTATGAAATAACATTAATTAGACTGTGTTATGAGACCCAGTTGTACGTGATTACTTTTGTTATCCTGGGGAAGCGTGGAAATGAAAATCTCTTAATTGCACCGAGTTATTTGTGCACTTCAATTATGATGCTCTATAACATTAATTGCAGGGAATATGCAAGTTTCCTATGAACTACGCCAGTCTTGCACCTTAAAGTCTTTCAAACAAATACTAAAATTAAAAAGAAAAATAATTGTCATAGATAGTCTTTTCTTCCCTATTGTGATGTATATCTGAGCTTCTCGTACAAGAAAAGAAATGGTTGATTTTGTCCATTTGAGAATTGATTGGATGCTTTTATTGTGGTGGTTTGCTATTGCTGTGATGTGATGTGAGTGACAGGTTGCCCTGCCCTCACGCCAGTAAACACATCATCAGAGAAGAAAAGAAATGCAAAAAAGTGAGAGGTGAATTAAAGAATAATGATGTGCACAGATAAACTATTTATAATAAATACAGCATTATTTAAAAAATTTATGTCAAATGGTGACTTTTATTAACTTTTCATGAACTACCCTTACCCTTAAACCCTATAATGTTGTTAATTAATATTATGAAGTACTTATTTATATACATTTACACACCCATGCTAAAGTTGACTAAAGAGAGGAATAAAAAAATCATCTTTTGGAAATTGATCTTAATTCCTTTATTAAAATAATGAGGAAAAATCCAACCTTTAAGGACACCAATTTTCTTTGTGAATGAATGATGTAACGTAAATAAATAAATGTCCTTCCTTAAAATACAGGTGGCATCAATCACGACACCATGTTAAATTCCCATAGAGGCAGGCAGATTTTTTCTTTTGTTTTAAAGGCCAGTTATTTTTATGGATCCAGGATATGCATCCTGATAAAGTTCCCTTGCCCTTTGGAATTAAAATAGCCGCATATCATCACCCTTCACCATTTTTTCAGTTAGCCTAATAGCTTGATTTGCATTGAGAGATGACCCCATGCCAATCTCTGGGTATAGTAAAAATTGGTGTCCTTACGGTTAGATTTTTCCTCATTTTTTTTATTAAGGCATTAAGATCAGTTTCCAAAATTTTATTTTTTTTCTCTTTTTATCAGCTTTAGTATTGGTGTGTTCACTTATGCTAAGCACCATAATTACACTGCAACAATGACACTTCAAAATAAAGCGTAACCGGTTTTCTTTTTAATTTTATGTTATTGTGAAATTGTGGCATTAAATATGTTGACTTTTTTTTAATCTGATTTAGTAAAAGACTCAAGTTTCAAGTTTTAATACAGTATCATGATGTCGACACCCTTTTATTGTATTTCCTGTTTTTCAAAAGGAGTTGAAGTTTCAGCTTGTTTACTCTGTTTACTGTGTCTAAATCTTGTTAGGCCCAGTTAAAATAATTAAACATATCCAATAAGTTATTACTTACAAACAATTGGATATATTACTCCGCATGGAAACCTAGCAATTACCAAATGACTACCTTCATCCAAACATATTCCCTCTGCTCTGGAAATAAACACGTCTTAGCCACTTTGCTCTATGGTAGAGAATGGTGTGAAAGTTTTCATGACTGAATTTTATAATGTGAAATGTTCTAGACAAGTGCTTGCTTTGAAAGTTCTTGCTTACACCACTCTTCTAATCATACGAATGATTCCTCCTAATCTACTGTTAGAATCTCTTTTTCTCTGAACTCACTGACTCACTCTGGCTTGTGCTGTATCATGTCCAGTTGTTCTGTTAGGCAATTTCAATATATTGACATAATGGCAATAACCCTCAGTTTCAGTCTTGTAGGCCTAAATGTAAATTTGCCTACTCCTGTGTGCCATGGTCACACACTTGATCTTGTTTGCACTTCTAGAATTAATAATATATCTCTTGCTCACAAAATATATCTGACCATTAACTGATGTCATTTATATTTGATTTCCCTTTTTCTGAACCTGCTGTCAAACTAGACTCGGACTCGGTCTCTGTCTCG